GGGTCAGACGGCCCGCGGAGCGCGGTCAGACGACCTGGCCCGACCCGAGGTGAGCCGAGCCGAGCCGAGCCGAGCCGAGCCGAGCCGAGCCGAGCCGAGCCGAGCCGAGCCGGGCCGGGCCGGGCTGGGCTGGGCCGGGCTGGGCTGGGCTGGGCTGGGCTGGGCTGGGCTGGGCTGGGCTGGGCCGGGCTGGGCTGGGCTGGGCCGGGCTGGGCCGGGCTGGGCTGGGCTAGGCTGGGCTGGGCCGGGCTGGGCCGGGCTGCCCAGGCGTCCCGCGCCGGCAGAACAGCTTCGCCGACCGGTCCATCTGCGCGATGCGCCAGCTCCTAAACACGGACTCGAGATCTGTCAGCGACGGTGATTGTATGCTTGATACCCGCGCCCAGATAACATCGCAGGAGCCGGTTTGGGCGGTTACCTGGACGTACTCTGGGTCTTGACTGATGTACGGTCATCGCGTTAAGCTGTCCCGGACCTGGCTCGCGTGTCAAGTCAAGCACGCGTGCCTTGCGACAAAATCAGTGTGCTAGCGCAGGACGACACGTCGTGATCTTCATTATCATTGAACACGGTCCGTCTAACGGATTTGTGACGGGAGCTGACGTCCAGCCGGGTCGGTATTCGAGACCTCTTCGCCCCGCGCCCACGTGCCCACCCGACGAACCAGGTCAAACAACACGGCCAGTGACAGGCGAGCCTGACCCGAGAGGCGCCGGCTTCGGCGCCCAGAGACTCGGTCTGTAATTGCTCGTGTGCGGCGCGGAGCGGCGGCCGCGCGGGGTCGGCGCGCTGCTGACCCGGCGCCGCTCTCCTCCGAGCGACCGCCGACCGTATACGGCACCGCAGTGATGGATGGCGAAGCCGATGCATTGTCGGCGCGCCGCTGCGGCGTGCGATCAACATTCCGCCGGTGTTGGGAACCGCGGCTGGCTGCGCCGGGCCCGGTCCCGGGCCGCGGGGCGGGCCGCCGCGGAGGCAGCGGAGCGCCACGCCGGCCGCGGACGGCGTGGCGCGCGGCGCGCAGCCGGCCCGGCGCCGCTTGTGTCCCCGCCCAAGGCGGCACGCGAATGGGAGCTGGGTTCGCAGTTCCTGACTTCCAAGGTCGGAGCACCTCCCGTTAAGGATGTTGCGGCCTTCGAACGCCTATTCGGGTGCTGTGATGTTTTATGGGACGTCGAGTCCTGCCGTCGCTTAAACGAAGTAATTTCGTTTTTGGCGATTCTGTCCGGATTTGGCTGGGGTGTCGGTCAGGTGGCAGATGTACCGTCGGAAAGTATTTGGGCTCAGGTGCTGAGGCCGAGTCACGATCGGGTGGAACAAGCCGGTTTTGTTGAAGGAAACTGTGTCAGTGTCAGTTATCGACGGTAAACTTTGGGGCTTTATCAGATACCAGATGGTGTTTTTATCGGTGATATCGCATGCAAAGTGCAGCAAAAAAGTGGTGGTCAGTCTGGTTTTGATTGCGTTCCTAACAAAGCATTGCATTTTTAGATGTGGCAACGTCTCTTTGAAACCGCGTTTGGAGCGCTTGAATATTGGGCTTTACAGGAGCCTCGTGAAAAAATCCTTGCAATGTTCGCAGGAAGCAACATTTGGAAAATGGATGTGGTGCCGGTGCAATCAGTGTTATTTTGCCATTGGGCGAAGGCCAATCCATCAGAATATGTCTTGGTTGCGTCACCAACATTGTCATTAGTCGGCAAACCATGCGCTCTAAATTTCGACTGTAGAGCTGTTTGATCACTGGCCTCAGTGATAGTCCGATCTCGGCTCAACGGTATGATCTGAGCCGCCGTCCTCCAACGCTCATCTTATCAGACGGCGCCTAGCCTGGCCGAGCCGAAAGTGCGCCCTCACATCCGGTCCTGCTCGCACCGCTTTCAACAAGCCGCCTGTGCTTGATAGCGCGTCAGGTCAGCGCGGCGCGGTCGACCGCCTCGATACCCGCCCCCCGCTGCAGTCTGCCAGCGCCGGCTCCGATACCCGCCCCCGCTGCAGTCTGCTAGCACCAGCTCCGACACCCGCCCCCACTGCAGTCTGTCGTCGCGTCGCGGGCGCACGCTGGCCGCGTCGGCCGCGCCTCGACCGGAAGTTGCACGCCGGCCGAGTGGCGCGCGTCCGCTGCCGGCGTGCGCCGGCGGCGGACGGCCGGTACGGTGCGGTGCGGCCGCCGCCGGCTCGACGTCTGATTAACGCCCGGTGAGGGCGTCAGCTGGCCGGCCGGCGCTGGGTGTCGGCCGTCACACGTATTGCGGCTGGATAATGACGCCCGGATGGGTGGCGGAGCAGGTGGGGCTGAGTGATGGCCGACGCTGCGGCATCGATCAGCGTAGAGTAACCTGGCTCCTTCGAGGCGGCAGGCCGACGCCACTCCGAGTGGCCGCGACGGGGCGCGATCCCGGGACCTCGCACTCCGACGAACAGCGGTTTGGGCGGCCGGCATGGCCGCTGCGCCGTTCACCATTGCCAAACGCCATTCGCAGGCTGCAACCTATGACGTCACCGGGAAGTGCGTCGTAACAGTTCTTACGCCAGTGCGGCCGCCCGTGTGTGGCGTTATGTGTAGTCCTCTCAGAGCCCATTTGTTCATTGACCCATCATTTGTTCATTGACCCAAGGCCCGCCCACTTAGATAGCGTCATAGACACATGCCAATGAGGGACGCCTTTATTCCGAATATGGGCTCGAGTAGAATCATCTGATCCAACCCCATGAAGACATGTAGCGCGCTGAAATGTTATTTGAAAAACAGTTGTTGGCAAGTGATCTGCAGCTAAATACATCATCGACCACGCTTTTCACATAAGATCGGGACCTGCCCGTTTGTCAGACATACACGGCCGTGAACGGCGCATCCATTTCGAATCAAACGCACATCGCCTCTGGGCCGAGTGGGGCATGAGCTTGGGATATGGAATAGGCTTTCATTGGCTTATGAAGAACGGGGATCAGGTGGCTACTTTGTCGGGGAAGAACTGGACTCTGAATTCACTCACCCGAGCTCGAGTCTCAAGCCACGGCTGTGGGATCGAGTGAGAGAGTGGCTGTTTGCGCTGGTGCGGCCGGCCCATCTCCGCTGATTGGGCCAGCGGGGCCGGCGGACAGCCAATACGGTCGGCGACGGGCCGCTGTGTCGACAGTGGGTCACAGTCGGCCTGCAGGTCAGAGGCGCTGGACGCTGAATGGACGCGGCGCCGGTCACGCGGCGTAACGGCGATGCGCCGCGTGACTCGGCGGCGTGACGCGCGCCGCCGTGTCACGCGGTCACGAGGCGGCTGAGTGTGGGGCGGTTTGACCCGGCCACCCGGCTGCTAATGGCAAGCTGTGCGACCCTGATCGATGCACATAGTTATCGACTATCATGTACGAAACTTGACGAAAGGCGCGTCGTCTCATCCCTCCTTCTTCCCACTGTCTTGAGAGAGTGTCTATGCCGGCGGCGGAATCGGGCTGTGCATGAACCGCCTCCAGCTGGTGTTCGGTCGGGACCAGCCGCCGGCTCGGTGTCATTACACCCACTCAGCCCGGCGGGCGGGCGGGCGCGCCGTGTGCCGTCCGCACCGCCGCCGGCTGGGGCGGCACCGGCCGGTGCAGGCGGACCGCGATGCCCCGGCCCCGCGGATCGGCGCCGCCGCGTGCCGCGTGCCCTGAGTCGGCGGCCGGCTGTGCGTGAGGACCCGGCCCTCTCCGGTGGAGAGGCGCGCTCACGCCGCGTCGCGAGGGGCGGCAGGTGCGCCGCGTTCGCCGCTGACCTCGCCCCCGACACCTCTGATCGTCCGGTTAAGCCACCTGCCGCGCAGCTTTCAGGTTATCTTATCGACGGCGCGCCCCCGTAGGACGCGCGCCGGGCCAGTGGTGACTTGGCGGCGCCGGCGGTCTGCGCTGATCGCGGACTGCCAGCGGATCTCTCCCCACGACCGCGCTCTGTAAGTGGCCGCCGCTTTCGCCCGTGGCTGTCGCTGACCGTGGCCCGCGTGACTCCGCTGTGGCCTGCGTGACCCCGCTGTGGCCTGCGGCGCTGCGCCGCCCGCCCGCTGGCCCGCTCCGAGCGGCGGCAGGGGCGCACGCACGTTGTCAGCATATCGGCCGGGCACACTGCTCGCGCACCTCGAGCCGCTAGATCCGCCGCTGGCCCGCTCGGGCAGCCGGCCCCTGCCTCTGCCTGTGCGTGTGTGGGGTTCTGTGAGTGTGGGCAGGTGTGTGTCCGTTCCTCGGGGCTCTAGCCGGGCGGCCGTGGTACGGGTCGGCCCGCACCGGGAGCGTAGAGTAACAGGCCTGAATGGGGGCAGGCAGCCTGTGACCAGGCGGCTGGCGTGCTGACCATGCTTGGTCCGCATGCACGCGGTCGGTGCAGCCGCGCCGCGCGGCCGCCGGCCTGCACCCCGGGGCCATTAGGCTCGACGCTATCGCTGCTCCCCAGTGCCGCGTGCGCCAGCTGACTGCGATAGACGGGGCTAGTTTGGATGTTGTGTGCATGGGCTGTTCTGTTTGAGGTGCTGAAGCGTGTTAGGGTGGGTACCTTCGTGTTGAGGCTTTTTGATTTAGCAACGCTGTCCTGCGGCAGTGTGAAGGCTTTTATTATCTCCCATGCCACAAAAGCGTTACGAACAGCTTCGGCCGGTACCCAAGCTTGCTGCTTTCGGTTTGCTCTTCTGTAGCTGGCCAAGAAATCTCACGCGTGCATGTTCAAGTCATGTAATGCATCCTCCCAGTAAGACTTGAATTGACATGTCAGCACTTTGGTATCATGCTACCCAAGCTGCTCTCTCATAACATACTCGCGCGAGCCCGCACCGACCGCGCCGTGACCGGGCCGGCGTACCCCCGGCCCCGCACCGACCGCGCGGTGACCGGGCCGGCGTACCCCGACCCTGCACCGACCGCGCGGTGACCGGGCCGGCGTACCCCGGCCCTGTAGCGACTGTACGGTGACCGGGCCGGCGTGCCCCCGACCCCGCACCGACCGTGCGGTGACTGGGCCGGCGTACTCCCGACCGCAGGGCTCGGCTCGGCCGGCGCTCGACTCGGAGGGCGACTCGGACATCAGCTCGGAGGGCAGCAGCGGCGCCAGCTCGCTGACGCGCAGCCAGGACAGCGGCGCCGGCGCCGGCCGCGCCCGCCTCTCCGAGAGCTCCGAGGCCGACAACGACGACGAGCTGGCCAACGTCAACCTGCGACAGCTGGTCAGCAGCGCGGCCCGGCGCCGCCTCAGGCCCGGAGGCCGGTGACGCGGGCGGCCCTTGTCGCATGCAGTTGGGCGGGGCTGGTGGAAGGACGGCGTGAGGTGGTCGGCTGTCGTCTCTGGTCTGCCTTTCTGGCTGCTCTGTGTGTTACACTCGCACGGCCAATGAATGTGTCTTAGCGCGCTGGCAAAACGACCTTCGCAATGTTGAGAAAGCACGTACTGTTCGTTTTTCTACATTTCCTTCGTATTGCGTCAAGTGCGGACTAATGAGCAGCGTGGACGCACGCATGTCCATCTAAGCCTGTCCGTTTTGTCGTTCGTATGGGCTTCCTCCCCGGTTCATCTTGGCTCCATTCTCCTTTGTCACGCCTTCTGGTCGTCTCCCTGCGCGTGGCGGTTGCGCACTCTCTCTCTCTCTGTCTCTCTCGGTGTGTGTTTTTCTCTCCGGCACGGCTGCACGCTCCGGTCAACTGTTCGCACGTAACCCGTCTGAGTCGCACGCGCACGATC